CCCCTGAGGGGAAATTCAATGTTTTCACTCTTGCTTGTCAATTACACACAGGTCTGAAAGACACCCACATGCACAAACAGGACCTATACATGCACAAAGTGGAGAGATGTCAGAGTGAGGGGGCTGCCCTTTGGTCAGGCGCCCCAAGCGGTTGGGGGGTTCGGTTCCTTGCTCAAGGGCACCTCAGCAGTGCCCAGGAGGTGAACTGGAACCTCTCCAGCCACCAGTCCACGCTCCATATTTTTGGTCCGGACGGGGACTCGAACAGGCGACCCTCCGGTTCCCAACCCAAGTCCCTATGGACTGAGCTACTGCCGCCCCCCTTGGTTTTATTCCCCAAAGAGAATAAAACCAAGAGCTCCCACAGATTACTGATACAAATCCATGTTTAAGGCCTGTTAAAGCATCAGATAACAACACAAGGACACCTCGCTCAACAGATCAAAGACTTTTGACCCCTCACTGATTTTCTCCTCTGCTGCAGGTATCTTCACAGCCCCAGTCAGAGGAGTCTACTACTTCAGATTCACACTGTGGGGGGGGCGCCCTTCAGCTTGGATGGGTGCTTATTTGTATCACAATGAGAAGAAAATGACACTTAGTTACGATTACAATGATGAACACACCTATATATCTGCGTCTAATGCATTAATTCTTCAACTGGAAAAGGGAGATGTGGTCTACTTGGCTCTCTACCCAGGCAGTGGTGTTTTTGATGATTCATTTAATCGTACCATTTTTAGTGGATTTCTGCTTTTTGCTCTGTGAAGTCACCTGTAAAACATCCACAGTCAATTGCATTAAGTTTTGACATCACACTATAAAAATTTGTGTGCTAATTAAATCCAAAATAATCTGTTGTATGTGTGTATTTTTGTCTGGTTATATGAACAAGATGAAGGGAATAATGATAAGAAAGTCCTCTACTAACAACATCAAACACTGTCTGTAAAGTTTGAAATTAAGTTCTAGTTTCAACAAACAAGGAAAGGATGTCATATTTACTCCTACAGTAACAATTAACTCAGTGGTCACTTCACGAATAAGCTAGTATCAAAGTAATGTGAAACACTTATGGATTACTGAACGGCCTACCAGGGGCCAAAAGTGCCAGGACCCCCTGACGTTCAGCTGCAAAATGTCACTCAAATTAATATCTACTGACCAGGAAGTGAATATAATTACCACAAAGAGATGTAAAGGAACTACAAAGAGAGACAAAACAACCTCAAAGAGACACAATTTACCTTGAAAGCGACCCAAATTGAGCTTTAAAGAGACACACAACAATACAACCTACAACCCTCAACCAAATACACCTAAAAGAGACAGAAAATGACTTCAAACAGACACATAACGACTACAAAGAGACACAATACAACCAATTGATGATACTGCATACAGCAGCCTCACTACTTCCCAAATTGAGCTTTAAAGAGACACACAATGACAACAAAGACATGTAAATGAACTACCAACAGACACACAACGGCTACAAAGAGATACAGTAAAACCACACACACCTCAAAGAGACATCAAAAGACTTCAAACAGACACAAAACAACTACAAAGAGACAAAAAACAACCAAATATACCTCAAAGACACACAAAAGGACTTTAAAGAGCCCCAAATGTACTCTTTAAAGACACAATATGACCTTAAAGAGATACAAACCCACAAAAATGACTTCAGACACACAACTAGAAAGAGACACAATACAACCAAATACACCCCAAAAAGACATTAAATGACTTCAAACGACTACAAAGAGACACAAAACGACTACAAGGAGACACAGTAAAACCAATTACACCTCAAAGAGACACAAAACAACTACAAAGAGACACAATACAACCAAATGCACCTCAAAGAGACATACAATGACTTCAAACAGACACAAAACGACTACAAAGAGACACAAAACAACTACAAAGAGACACAATAAAACCAAATACACCTCAAAGAGATCTAAAATGACTTCAGACAAACACAAAACGACTTCAAAGAGACACAAAGCAACTACAAAGAGACACAAAACAGCTACAAAGAGACACAATAAAATCAAATACACTTCAAAAAGACATAAAATGACTTCAAACAGACACAAGCGACTACAAAGAGACACAAAATGACTACAAAGAGGCACAATACAACCAAATATAACTTGAAGAGACATAAAATGACTTCAGACACACACAAAACGACTTCAAAGAGACACAAAGCAACTACAAAGAGACACGAAATAACTACAAAGAGACATAATAAAACCAAATACACTTCAAAAAGACATAAAATGACTTCAAATAGACATAAGCGACTACAAAGAGACACAAAACAACTACAAAGAAACACAAGATGACTAAAAAGAGACTTAACACAACCTAATACACCTCAAAGAGACACAAAACAACTTCAAAGAGACACAAAGCAACTACACAGAGACACACAATAAAACCAAATACACTTCAAAAAAACATAAAATGACTTCAAACAGACACAAGCGACTACAAAGAGACACAATACAACCAAATAGACCCTAGAGACATAAAATGACTTCAAAGAGACACAAGCGACTACAAAGAGACACAAAATAACTACAAAGAGACACAAAACAACTACAAAGAAAGAAGCACAAGACAACTAAAAAGAGACACAATACAAACACACCTCAAAGAGATACAAAATGGCTTCAAAGAGCCACGTGTACTCCTAAAAGAAACAAAATTACCTCAAAGAGAGACGAGACCACAAACAATTGCTGACAACTACAAATGACACAAAGTAACAACAAGAAAAAGAGAGGAAGCAAGCACAAAGTCTGTGTGTCTTGCTCCTGTGTAGGCGAAGGGGTGGGGCCTTTTACATGTCTGCTCCCAGGAGCCCATATTCTCATAATCCACCCATGCTGTGAAGGTATCCATTTCAGTAAATACAACAATATCCAAATGACAAGGCCTATAGTCATGATTCATTATGATCTGTTATTTAAAAACCACATCTCAGTTTCAGAATGATTCATCATCATTTGGCAACTTTCGTGCGCAGTTGAAAGCAATGAGCCAAATGTTGCTGGCTTAAAGGGACAAAAAAATCTTACCTTTGCACTCATGCAAGCAGCAGAGCAGAAACCAGTGTGGACTGTAACAGCATAGAGATATGGGTCAGACGGGGAGTTGTCAGAAAGATAATGGACTCTGAGATTTGCCTCGGAAATGACATCCGCTCTCCTACACAACACCAGCCCCGGCAAGTACAGGCACACACACAGCACCAGTACACCCAGTACTGTCAGATCATTGGACACACTGAGGTGGCAGAGAGGGAGAGAGGAGACACTGTTGGATTTTTTTTTTTTTTTCATTCTCATGAAATGACTGAGTGAGGCAAATGTATGCTTCTCACTCACAGAAAATTAAAAAAATCTGGAAAAATGAAACAATGACAGAAACCTTCCTCTGTTTACTTCCTATAAGAAAATATTCAAATTACTGCTGCAGTTTAAGCAACAGAGAGGTTTTGTTTTTTGGTTTCATACATCACCCAAGTCTAAAGAGGATGAGGTCACCTTAGGAACGGGTCCAGACCGGTAGTGTCATGGCTGCTCTGGATCTGCTGCTGCACCACAGTCAGTGGCCTCAACTGGTGACAACTGAGATACAACAGCAAGAAGTGATTCATTGATGTGAATCGTCACTATGTACATTTATTTCTTGCATGTGTGTGTTTCTCTCTGTGAAGGTCTCGTGTTCTCGTGCCCACACATATTTAATCCATGCCTTACCTGCAGTTGACTGCAGCAGTTGTGTCTGCACGCTGTGTCCTGCAGCCGTGGTGTGTCCAGGCCCCCTGGTGGCTGTCCCAGGACAAGCACATGCTGCTGTCCACTATGAGACTGTAGCTGACCTGTTCACTCAGGTGCTTGTGTCTGGGTGTTTTCCCGAAAGCAGCATTCAGCAGGGCCAGGTGACCAGCGCCTGGAGCTAGAAATGGAGTTTGGTAATACACGGATGGATGGATGGAGACACTTAATGCATTAATTATTCTTTTTCCCCTTAATGTTGATCATTCATTATAAGTTAATGTTAGTCAGTTATGAACTGATGACAGTTTACTTGTATAATTGCTGGTGTCTGGTGCTGTTTTGTATGTATTTTCTTGTGTATTTATATAAAGACCCCTGTAGTGACTAACAAGCCACTGAGGGGCGAACAGATTAACTTGTTCTGGACGTGTGCTCTGGGCTAACAATAAAACCAATGTCCAGTGCGAGTTATCTCAATATAATATACACATGCTCACCATAGCACACAAAGCTCCACCCTGTGTTCAATTTAATAACTGCAAGTGTATATTTATATTTACCTTGTCTAGATAAGGATAGAATAAACAAATAAAACTATATTATGGCTCCAACAACCCATAAAGGGACGGCATTGCAAACTGGCATAGCAAAGTCAGGTAATTTGGAACATCAGGCAAAATGGGACATCTTGGGCTCTTCATATTTGACGTGTCCCAGCCTTGAAAAATACTGGAAGGATCTTTTCCAAACCTTATCCACAATATATAACTTTGACCTGCAACCCAACCCTCTGGCCGCCCCTCTTTGGCACCATCAGAGGGGATGATGTACACCTGACACAAGTTCAACGCCGTACACTGTCTGTTACCTCTGTGCTGGCCAGATGGACAGTTATAATCAGATGGGAGTGAGTTGTAATAGAGCTGAATTTTGTAAAGCTACCTTTGTTAAATGCTGCTGTTGTCCCAGGCTTCATGAGTAGAGAGAAGTCTGCTAGTCGCTAGGCTAATTTATACAATGTAAAATGCCATAGGCTTGTGCTAATAACGTTAGCATGTTGTATTTGTGAGGAAACTGTGTCCAGATAAAGACAAGTGTTTGTCTGTGAATGCTGCGAGTTATAGTGAAGCTGATTTGTCTACTTGTGTTTGAAATTGTCTCTATTAAGCCATGTTTAATGTGTGTTTAATGTGTGTTTTCAATCAACTAAACTTTAAAGCACTTCATAGAAACCTCAACCACTAACTAGTGTTCTGGAGGTGTAACTGCAGAGTGACACAGACACACCACTGTACAAGTATAAATGCTCACAACAGTGTAGGCCACGTGTGTAGGCTACGGCATAGGGTCTGCCACACAAGTATAAATCCCCTTTAAATGCAATTATAGCATCAAAACCCATGCAAATACAAGAAAGTGGCTTTTAAATAGCTGTCCACTGCAGTGACCACTACACGAGAAAGGGCCAGATTGGCTGCTATTCTTAAAGATGGAAGAGCAGAATGAAAGGGAAATGCTACAAACAGAATAACTGTTCTATAGTCTGCATCTTTTATCATTAGTAATAGTAACAGAGTAATACTCTCATTACAGAGTAATGTCAGTATTGGATTGTTAATACCATGATGAATAAAAGACTTGAAATGACATGCACTGACTGAATTTCCACTTTGCTAAAGCCTTTTTAGATATTCACTAACATATACTGTAAAAAAAAAAAAAAAGATTTTAACTTTATAAAATGACTAGTTATTTAAGGGATGAAAAGACAAGGAGGGAGGAGGGACAGAGCTGAACCAATAGATTTCTCACCTCTGAGGTAGGATGGGGGCAGGGTGAAGCGTGCAGTGTTGCTCTCCCAGTGGTGAATCCTGTGCAGGTGGTACGTACTGGGAGTCGGCCTCTCAAACATCCTGCCACAACAGACACTTTTAGCTTGATCTATTACTCAAAAACTCATTAAGATTACTGCATTGTGTTAAAGTCTGGTCTACGGTTAGGAAAAATGTGGGTGGCATTCTGGCTTCCTGCTGGCTCCTTTGGTCACAAATCACTCTTTTACTCCATCTCTGACTGATGCAGAGAGGTTCGGCTGTAGCACGAGAAAGGCATTTATTCCTTCAAAGATCTTTTTATCATTTCAGCAGTTACAAACTGAATTGGACATACCACATACTTATTTTTTTCATTTATTTTTTCAGATATTTACAGGTACTTAACTTTGTCAAACAAAGCACTGCATCGTTCCCTAATTTACCGATCAGTTACCCAACTGAACCTATATTTCTGTCAAACCCAATGATCAAAGGATGCACCTCTGTTATTTATTATGCACTTGAGTGTTCATGTTTAGATTGTACCACCTCCCTAGATTATTTAAAAGCAGCCTGGGCAAATGATTTGAGGGTTGCTAATTCAGAGGAGTCATGGGCAAAAGCCCTATTACTGGTACGTTCTTCCTCAGTTTGTGCTAGAGAAATTTATATTAAAATATTGCACTTCACTTATCAAAAAATAAGCTCTGTAAAATGTATCCAAATATTAGTCCAGCGTGTGACTGTTGAGGGCAATCACCAGCCTCACCAGCCCATATCTTCTGACACTGCCCAAGAGTCACAACATATTGGCAAAATGTTTTTTCAGTCACTATCAGACATCCTGTGAATCCTGATCCACTGACTGCACTCTTAGGTATTAAAGTTTCTGATCTTGTGTTAACCAGCATAACATGACATGTAGATTGATATTATTAAATTGGAAGCAATGCACCACCTGCAGTTGGAAAAGATTAAATTCTCATTAAGAGGGTGTGAAAACAAATTCTACCAGATCTGGCAACCCTTTATAGACCACTTGAAGAAAAATGCACTAAGTCCTCCCGCTAACTCGCCTGGTTTAAATGACACAAAACACTGTCGATCTGACATCCGCCTACATACCCCTTTTTTATTTTATTGTTTTCTTGCTTTAATCTTTTTAAAATAGAACGATACATTTTATTTGTAAGAATTATATTTTGCAAACTTGTTTTCCATACTTGTGTCTTTTTCTATCCACCTTATTCCTGAGGGCGCTACTGTAGAAATGATTATGTGCGTAACTTCCAGTGAGATAGTGGAAGTAGCAGTAAACTAGTTCATCCCATAGACTGTCTGTGGTTAGTCCTAGTGGCTACTCTTGGTGGCTAACCGCCAACACTGGTTCTTTTCGAAAGTAATCTGCCTTCAGTTTAACAGAGCTTTGGTACCCATTGCACTGTCCGTGTCTGTAACGACTAACAACCAGTCTCAACTAAATTTTTGTCTTCAGCAACTGTGTGTTGAACATGTAACCAGAACAAAAAGGGATTGTTCCTGTTGCCAAAGGGACCATTGATATGAGAAGTAAAACCACAAGAGTTTCACGAGACATAGCGAAAAAGTATTAAATCAGAATTAGCAGAAGAGAATGACACCTAGACTGACACGTCCGTCACTCAACGTCAGTACGTGATATCCCTGTCTTTCCCCATCTGACTTAATTCTCAACCTACATTAGAAAATAAACTCAGCAACATACTTTGAAACATGTAATTAGTCATTAGAGCTGAGAATTTGTTACTGATTTACCGTACTTCCTTTATATCATATAAAAAAAATGAATGCCAAAAGTTATTTTTTTTACTACTACTTTATATTACTATTACTGAAGTCTGCTGCTAAATTCAGCTTCATATTTCACTCAGAACCGTTTTTAATAAATCAGTCGTTAACGCAGACGAGCGGAGGATTGAGCAAGGATGAGCCCTTAAAACAACCTCCTTTTTCTTACTTATGCATGGCTTTCTCAGCCCAAACAGCACTGTCACCTTCAACAAACCCAGGCTCCGTTTATGCAAGCTCCAGGTAGTGACAGTGCCGATACTACCTTTCCTAGCACATTCACCATAGTCTATTTCACACGCTACATAGCATAACTCCAATATGAGCTAAAGTTAAAGGAGACAGAGAAGATAAACTCACAGGATCAGCAAACAGACTCACCTTGCAGCATGGTCTCAAACAAAAGGGATTCATATAGGCCACTCCCACACTTAAATATCTCTTAATAAGTCATCAGAAATCATAGAACATCTTTAGAAGGAGCAGATATTTACCTTAAGCTAGCTCGGGCCATGTTAAAGTTAATATTTTAACAAAGCAAGGCAAGCTAACTGCTAGTGTGCTCTGTTGAATTCTTTGAGATGGCTATCAGAGATGGCAGACGTATGATCACATAATCCAGTTTGAGCTATAACAGGTGGTGTGTTCCACGTTTTATTTCCCAATTGCTCAAGGTGTCATGGGGGCTAGGAATAAGGAGGGTACATGTATGACAATTCACCCCTTTTTGACATGTAGAATATTTTCAATATTTTTGTATCAGAAATTCTGTTTTCACTTTTATACTACTGTCACTGTCTATTAAACTTTGAAACCCCCAATAAAAAGAGTTGCAAAAAAAAAAATTATTACATTGTGTTACTATGTTGCTCCAACTATCAGATGATAATGCCTATAAAACAGAAACGTGTACCTGAAGAGCAGCATGATGGGAAATGCCTTGTTGAGCGGTGGCGTGAACACCACACTTAGCTGGATGGCCTGCTGCAAGTGCTCCTGGGTAATGTTGAAGCTGTGGTAGTTGACCTGCTTGCTTAGGAGGACGTACTCACTCACAGAGCTCTTCTGAAGAAGAATGCGAAAACATGGTCACCCACTTTTTTTTTAACAGTGTGCTCTACTGTAATTACATGAAGAAACAGCGACATACGTTTCTTGGTGGTTGCTGCAGCTCGATGTTTATAGGCTGGACAAGGGAGCGAACTGGGATCTTCCTCCTCGTGCTGCACTTGTACAGACTCAGGTCAACCACTGGTCCGCTCAGCTGGAATCAGCAGAGGAAAATGAGAGCAATGCCCTTCTCTTTAATCACTCAGTGTCATTGCATCACGCCAGTCTCACCCTTCCAGGAAAGTGGACCCAGGTGTAAGGGTTGTGGGTGAGCTCAGTCAGCGAGCTGAGCACACACGGTTGATGTGGTCTGCTCTCGGTCTCTCTACTGCGATGAACAGACAGAAGCTGGATCAGGGAGGCAGGCATGTAGAAGGTGGTTGAGCCACTGCTGATGACTGTGGAGGTTTGGCTTTGGTACATGGCGTGTAAGGCAATAAGACCAGTGTTGACTTTGTGTTCCTTTGCCTCATGGAACAAGATGTACTTCTAAAAAAAAAAAGGATTAGCAATGAAGAGATAATTGTGACGTACAGGTATGAAAATATGTTAAGTTCATGAGTCTGCATGCACAAGAACATGTTTCGTTTCTCTCACCAGCATCAGGTCTGAAGCAGTCTGCAGAATATCAGCTATAAGCTGCAACGCTTGCTTTGTTGAAATCGATCCGTCTCGTTTGATGTAAACACTGCTGGGTGAGTCCTGTATTTCATCATGTGGGTCTGACTTTAATGTCTGTGTAATGTCAGCACTGGTGGACATTGCTGGTGTGAAGTCATTACTAGCGACAGCAGCTTGCAGGCTGTATGACAGCAGGGAAACTAGGGTGCTGAGTGTCTTCTGGTCCAAATAGAACCGGGCTGGAGCACTGGACTCTGAAAGCTGCTTTGAGATGACCTGAACATGACCTGTCACTCGTCTTGCACTAAAAAATGTCACCTAAACAAGATAAACCAAGTATCAGAAATAATCTTTTAGCATGCATCTCTCAGTGTCTCTTCTCAACAAAAGTCCATGAAAGGAGACGACTTCCCACCTACCTGACTTGTAACTTGTAACAGGTTTTTGAGAATGCAGATGTTATCTACCATTGATGCCTAGGAATATATGACATGTTATTTATGTGCTGAAAAAGATGGGGAAGTTCAAATCTGACTGTGACAGAGAGAGTAGAGGATAGATTTGTCAAAATCAGAAACATAACCCTGATAATCTTGAGGTGCAGTATAGGTCTGTGTGTGTGTACCTGTTCACTGCTTTCAAGCTCACACACGGTGCTAATGAGTACATTGCGTGTTCGTCTCTGTGCATGTGTGTTGGCTTCAGTGTCCAGGCTGAGTCTGTTCAGGATGCTGGAGAGCAGACTGATGTAGTTACGAATCTCCATATTGTTTCCAAGCCGCACCAGAGCCGAAAGGTTCCTCAGACCTGACTCTGAACTGGAGAGAAATGGAAATTAATAACACAACAATATATTGTATAAATAGTAAGACAGTAACTTGTTAAAATGTACAACTCCAGACATGATTGCAACACAAAAGATGACTTAATTAAGGGCACATTAAAATTCGATATATTCTATTTAGCCATTTAAAAGCAATAGACTGAATCACTGTGACGTCATGCTAACACTTCCCAAGTAGACAAGAGAGAGCTGTACCTGTAACGTTTAAAGATATACAGTTAAACACAGTAATATGACCTATCTGACATTTCTGTTGTGCTTATTTTACATACCGTGTTACTTTGCTAGTATCTTCAATAAATCAAATCTAGAAACTACGCGTTGTACCACTGTGGTCCAGGGCACCAGGAAGTGCAGCAAGCTTTGAAGTCAATTTTTGTAGTGGCCAAACAATGGTACTGCAACTTCAGGGGTCCCTCACATGAAGCCCTGTGGCCCAAAACATACTTTTTCCCATTGACTTACTAGGCGAGAGTGACGTCTGTAAATCTGTGGATACAAGTTTTTGAGCATTGCAACCTCCTCAATATGACTCGTTTCACTGCTGGGATTTGATCCATTCAGTCAGATAACATTTGGAAAATCTTTAAGAGCCGCACAATTAAATCATTTTATCCCTATTCAAATTAGCAGAGCGCTAAACCGGAAGTAGCCGGCTCGGCAGACGGAAGTAAGATGCTTGGCTACACTCAGTCACACTCTGATGCTGTAAGTCCCTAGTGTGATTGCTCTATGGGCCGCACAGTGCGCAAATAATGCTGATCATCCACAGATTGTCTGGGTAATTTCACACCTGCCAGTTGAACCATTTTGGCTTCATGTACCGGTGAGCAACTCTCATCAGACTGAATGGGTCCCAACTCCATTGCTATATCTGGGTGTCTTAATACATTCATGCTGTGGATGGGGGCCATAGCATAACGTATTTTAGCCACCTTAAAAGACCCACTTAAAAAAAATCAATATCAGTTTTAAGTGTAAGCTATATTTGAAATATTTCAACCGCTTTACCTTACACACAGAGGCAGCAGCAGACCAGCATCTCCAGTGTTTTAAAATTACTGTTTTTGTCAGTGGAGTCCGGTGGCTGTGAGATAACGGACTTAGTTTTCCCCGTCAGAAGGGGCTGTTTGACAGCAAGATAAAACAATGAAAATACTTCATATATAGCCAACCCAATCTCACTCTGAAGTCGTCGAAGTCCGGCACTTGGGCGGTGACTTCAGCGTCAGACACTGACGGAAAAAAGCATCCTTTAAAGTCGACATGATACATGGCTGGTCGCCGTTATAGTTTAACAGCGCTCGGCCATGTCAAGGGGAAACGTGGTGGGACAAGAACTAAAGTTAAGGAGGCGAAAGTCCAAGTAGGGTGGGTGGGAGGCTTGGTGGATGGGTCCAAGACACACCAAACTTCACCTGGGTGAGTGGTGTTTGCTTCATGTAAGATTATAAAGCCAAACCCTGTTCTTTTTTCCTAAACCCAACCACGTGCTTTTGTTGCCTAAATCCAAACATGAGTTTTTGTTGCCTAAATCAAACCACATGCATTAGTTGTGAGAGGAAAAAATACATCTATTTGCGTTGTTTTACTGACGTTGTGCTTTTATTTTGAAAGAGACTGTATGTAAATTTCAAGTTAAAAGAGAAGAGTACTTTGAAAGAAGACAATGCATGTAACAGGCAGAACTTGAAGGGGCATGCCAGAACGTCAAAAACAACCAACGCTCCCAGGGTACCTTTCACATCGTATCATGGAAGGTCCATGACCAAACATCGATATGTGACGAGGTCGGAGTGAGAATGTGTTGATATAGTGTAGGCTGCACTTACATTGATTTATCTCAGGTGGGCCTTTTTTCAGGTGACTGCAAACTACCAAACTAAAGCGGTATGTGCTCCGTGCCATCACATTGTTTGTACATAACACAGGGCTTTTTACCCAGCTGTTAATGTAAATAAAACTTATGATTTGGTTATTAATTTAAACTTCCATGGATTATGAAAACAGATTAAATTCAAAAGATTTAAAGTCATTTCAGAGTCAGTCTTTTCAAAATGTGTACTATAGTAAAGTACATGATGTACACCTCTATAAAAAAAAAAAAAAAACTGCAACATGAACATAACCATAATCCTGATATGTGATGACATGGTGACTCTTACAGCTCCACGTCTGGATCAAGATGAGAAGAAGAGGTGTCTCTGAGGAAGCTCGGTTGGACTTGGACTGTGACAGGACAGGGTTTAGTGGCCGTCCCATACGTGCTGCTTCTGATCTCTGTGTAAATTGTGACTACAAGCCCAAAAAATCAATCTGTCAGTAAGTTATCATGGTACTGCCTCAGTATGCACTGTAAAAGTTACTAATCAGTGTGTCCGTGTGTTTGAGATTACCTTTATAGTCATCACCGGGGTCACCAGAAGATAGGCTGAAGTAGTACTGGAAGTCTCGCCCCTGATACAGCATCCTGGGAGGTCTGTTTCCTACACTGACACTGTACTCATACAGTAGGTCCTTCAGCACACACACAAAACATGAGAAGGTTGACATGCAGTGAACAGTGTGAACTAATTTAAGTTGGGACAAAAAAATGGATACATTTGTAGATACTTCTTCCTGTGTATCTTCATTTTAAAATAAGAAAATTTTCCATTTATAAAAACCTACATTTCCCTAGTGAACTGGATGGGTAATTATGAGGTAGCAAAGAAAATAGCCCAGATATTGAGGAAGGTACAATTAAAAAACTGAGAGGTAGCCAAGAATGATTATTTGAACTTAAATATTTAAAAAAGGGTTTCTCTGTCTTTTCAATTATAACAAAAAGTTTACCACATCTAAAAGGGTACATCTTTAAGCATTCGCAACAGTGCTACAAGTGCTTACTAGCTTACTACCTAACGTTAGCTATCCAGTTAACGTTAGCACTCGCTAGCTAGCTAACTTGGTCCTAGCTACAACAGCACATTTCAACATTGTCATTGTAACATACGTTTGGTTAATGTGTGGGTGGAGATATCAGTCAAATGTTGGTGAAAATGCTCCACTGACCATTTGTAATTCAAAAAGAAGATTAAGACGAGGTGGTAAAAAAAAAAGAAAAATCGTCGTCACTTCCGCATAGACCCTTTTACTGTTAGTAAACAACAGTATGATGGTTTTTGGTGGGCGGGGCTTAGCTGGAGGCAAAAGAATTCTCCACAGCCTTTAGCTAAAGCTAGCTAGCCAGTGTTGCTAGCTTGTTTTAGGCAATGGGGGAAGATGATGCGAGTGGTACATTCAAAAATTCTCATTCCTAGTTTTGGAGCTTACTGAATTTATGAGCGCACCATGTCAGGTCACTCACTCTCTGGGACCAGGAAATGTTACTTGAAAAAGTAAACACTGACCAACGGGACCAGACTGCCCATATGCTCTCACTCAGTGACAGTATTCCTGAAGGTGGGATGGACAGCACTGTAGTTGGTTACCATACCAATCTTACAAAGAGAGTTGAATGGTTTCCTCCAGTTTATTTTGCTATCGAAACTAACGTTAGCTAATGCGCTAAAAAGTTAGCATCACAGAGAAATCCAATAATCCTCTTTATACCTCCCCAAAGTCTGATTGGACATGTAACCCCTAATATACATAACATTACGCTACCTATAGCACCTACAGAGTACTACATTGAAGCGTACTAACTGAAGTATGATATAATAATAATAATAATAATAATAAACTTTATTTATATGGTGGTGTACAGTGAGAATAATAATGGACCAAGGCAGGTCCCTTGTGCAACCCCAAGACAGAGGTCATGTTTCTCAGACACATGATCTCCAAAACTAGAAAAATACATAAATTGTACAAAGATAAATGCCCTCATGTCAATTCAATTTCAATTTCAATTTTATTTATAAAGCCCAATATCACAAATCACAATTTGCCTCACAGGGCTTTACAGCATACGACATCCCTCTGTCCTTTGGACCCTCACAGCGGATAAGGAAAAACCCCCCCAAAAAAAACCCTTTAACGGGGGAAAAAAACGGTAGAAACCTCAGGAAGAGCAACTGAGGAGGGATCCCTCTTCCAGGACGGACAGACGTGCAATAGATGTCGTACAGAACAGATCAGCATAATAAATTAACAGTAATCCATGTGACACAATGAGACAGAGAGAGAGAGAGAGAGAGAGAGAGAGAGAGACAGACAGACAGAGAGAGAGAGAGAGAGAGAGAGAGAGAGAGATGCAGGACAGACGGTAATGACAGTAGCTTACAACAACATTAATGAAAGTAATAATATTATAATTATAGTTCTGGCTACTGTGATACAATATGTTGAAAGTATATATTAATATCTGACAGTATACATATGTGACAATAATCATATGTGTATATGTCAAAGGAGAGTTAAAGTAGCCTTTTCCTTTAAACTTTTTTCTTGAACTAAAAAATGGCTCACACACAAAGGAAGTTATATAACTCCCATCTGGTACAGTATGCAGGGTCAAATAATTAATACAATTATGAATGTGTGTGTGTTTAATGTATGAAACCAGAGATACCTCTTTCCCTGAGGTGCAGAAGATGCTGAAGTGTGTATATAACTCCACTCCTTTGACTGGTTGTACCTGGCACGTCATGCCTTTTGGAGCAGGGTTGGTCTTTAAGAATAGCTGAGTCCGGCCCAGGAAACTATCTTGAAATTCTGAGAACAACAGGTGACAATCAGATCAGTATGCAGCAGGGATGCACTGACACAGGACTACATATAATGTGATTTTGAGACACCACTGTGGTTGCCCCAGTCCCAGAAAACCACATTATATTTATTCTGCATCATTCTTAGTGGACAGCTAGCACAATTAAAACAGAATTATTAGATTTTGCCCTTAAAACGGATAAAAATGTAAAAGCAAATAAGGAAATCAGACTTTGGTGATGATGCATTCTCTGCATTCTCTACTGTTATCACATTCAGTTAACACTTAGCCTCACCTATGACTTCTTAATTACCAGGTAATGTTAGCTGTATGTGTTCAGAAAGAGTTTTGTGGTCCATCTCTAAGTAATAATGTACACAGTGTACAGAACCTGTATTTCAAGTTCATGTTAATTTGTCAGTGTCCATGGTTCAGTTATTGTTGTGTAACTTACTGGCAGTGACCTCCAACATGTATCTGCTCCCAGGCTTTAGACTTAACGGTCTAAAGCTGAGCAAAGGGGGTGAAATGCCTGGAAGGAGAGAAAAAGATGACTAAAGGCTGAGATATGTGACTAAAGAAGATGAACTGTGTGTCTGTGAGTTTCCTGGACAATGTACCTGTATAAGTGTAGGACTCAAAAAGGCCTTTGTCTACCGGGTCTCGAGGTAAGTCAAGCATGATTGGCTCCTGCATCACGACAGATGGTCTGGAATCTACCAGATTACTCCCCTCGTCTTCATGTGATGCTGGATCAAACTCTGAATCATTTCCTGGACTGTAGCTCTCACCATCCACACCTGGGAAAATGCATGGGATTAACACACAACCTCCCACGCTGGTGATATTTAGCAAACACAGACATGTACTGTACCTGTGGGCCTCCCTGCTGAAATCCCTGGGTCTCCTTCCTCCGCGCTCATCAAGGGAACATCATAATCTAAATCTGCCGTAGAATGAGCTTTAATGCACAACATAGCTACACACTGAAAATCTGCACAGGCTGTGTATACGTTACTATTAGAAGGTGCTCATTGTGTTATAATCAGACAAAGAAATTCAGTGGTTGCTATGTATCCTTGTAACTTGCTCTGAGTTAGCTACAGATTGGAAAACTTTTGCAGTTTAACTCCTTAGATGTCATACAACTCTTTTGTTTAGGCTGCAAAAAAGTGAAAACAAAAATTAACAGTGGTTAAAATGACATTGTGTAATGTGAATGTGCTCTGTAATGTTAACCCACAGATGATTATAACAGAACCTGCAGTTTGTCTCAGCGCTACTGAACTTTTAGCATCTTACTTTAGCTGTATTAGCATTAATTCTTGACACACTGTAGGGCTAGGCCAAATAATATATACTGGGGAGGACACGTCCCCTCTGATATTTAAACACACTAAAACGTCCACAGACAGACAGATAGATGTCCTGAAAAGTCAGCTGAACGGAAAAAAACAAGGTCTGGGCCATCAACACGTAGGTCCTGCCAGTCATCAGATACCCCGCTGGTATAATAAGCTGGCCAAAGGAGAAGACAGAAGCCACAGATATCAAGACAAGGAAGCTTCTCACAATGCATGGAGGGTTTCATCCCAAGGCAAGACCCTAAGACTGTACACTAAGCGTAGCAAGGGGGGGGCAAGGACTAGTGAGCATCAGAGCCACTGTCCAGGACAAAACAAGCAAGATCCAGGAATACATCACAAAGATGGCCCCCAAAGATGAGCTGCTAAGTGAATACCTCAGGTAGCAAAGACCAGAGAATGCAGAAGAGGATGAACCATCATGAAAGGACAAGCCCCTGCACGACATGTACCACCGACAGATTGAAGAAGTGGCCGACATCAAGAAATCCTACCAGTGGCTGGAAAAGGCTGGACTGAAGGACAGCATAGAAGCACTAATCATAGCAGTACAGGAACACGGCACTTAGTACAAGATCAATAAAAGCAGGGGTCTACCAGACCAGACAGGACCCCAGGTGCAGACTGTGTGAAGATGTTCCTGAGACAGTTCAGCACATAATAGCAGGGTGTAAGATGCAGGCAGGAACAGCGTACATGGAACACCATAACCAAGTGGCTGGCAAAGTGTTCAGGAAAATCTGCACTGCATGTGGGCTGGAAGTCCCATGGTGACAATGGAAGACACCTCCTAAGGTGGTTGAGAAGATCCTGTGGGGCTTCCAGATCCAGAATGACAAACAGCTAATGGCTAACAAACTGGACATCATGTTGATGTGATGATGACTTACATTGCCATCACCTGACCAAAGGGCAGCCCCCTCACTCTGACATCTCTCCACTTTGTGCATGTATAGGTCCTGTTTGTGCATGTGTGTGTCTTTCGGACCTGTGTGTAATTGACAAGCAAGAGTGAAAACATTGAATTTCCCCTCAGGGGGATTAATAAAGTAAATAAACTTAAAACTTAAACTTAAACTTATCAGGTGGAAAGAAACTCAACTCCAGTTTAATGTTGCTGTCTATCTGCTGGGTGTGTTTTGCTAGTTTGAAGTTTGCTACATCAGCTTTATAAGTTATGTTGTGTTTACAGTTGTCCAAAGTTGCCAAAATATAATTAATGCAGGTTTAAAGACCCTGCACACCTACAGCACACCTTCACAGGTGTTTTTATTGTGCCTGATTAGACAGTGTGGGCATGTGCAGACTGTGCTTGACTGACCTCTGTTAGCTGAGTTGCGCCTGGTAGAGCAGGACAATTTACACCTTATTGGTAGACATAGTGGAGGAAGTAGCACATAGATCTTTACTTATGGAAAAGAGCAGTGCCAAAATACTGTAAGTACACTCAAATTTTTAAAAGTAAAAGTATTATCAAAATATTACATTATTGGATTAGAATTATTGACTTTAGTGTTGCAGCTGGTAAAGTTAGGGCTAATTTAAATTACGCTATATACTGTAGCTTGTTAATGAAATAAATAATTGTTTGATTTTGTGGGACTGGCAGAGCACACAAGATTCACAGCCAACATTTCGTCTCAGTTTTTTCTCACCTAGTCGACCTCCCAAGTCACTGCTCTCCAGGAAAGGAAAAGAAAACTCCCAGTCAGCAGAGGAGTCGGAATCAATTTGGAATTCGCTGATAATGTCACTCCGGCCAAAGTGGTCTGAATAGAGGACGCCGCTGTTGTCAAGGGGAAGTGGCAGGTATTCAGTGGAGGAGGACAAAGGCTTTCGGGGGTCAGTTTCCCTCAGAGGGTGATAAAAGGACTCCTCTCCTGGACATAAAGAGGAAAAGCTGTTAAATAATTCATAAAGTATCCTTTTTACTGTAACTATGACCTTGCACATTTTTACTTCTTGTTGATTTTCCTACTGATGCCCATGTCTTAAGTGCTTTTAAAGTTTTTTTTAACATTGTGAGCATGGTAAATGTTACGTATTCACACTTTTCTTCACATTTGATTCTAATTTATCTGCAGAATGAGATAATTCCCATTTTGAAGGAATACTTCACCCCCAAAATGACCATTTCTACATTTAATAATAGTGTTGAACATGCACCCAGAACAAATCGAGATTGCTCCTGTAAAAGTACAGTTTCCATCACCTACCTACACAGAGGAACAGGTTGCCACCCATGCTGTACGACATAATACTGGATCATCCGTCATTAAAAAAAATAAAATGCACCGTCCCTTACTGAATCAATACAGGACATACTTTTCTATGTATTTACGTGTACCCTCTACTCTAATGTATAAACTGCAATTTCACATGGCAGCATACCTTGAATTATGTGTTTAACGTTATCAAGTCTGAGAATGTGTTACTGATTTACTTCTTTCATATCATATAAAATCAATGCCTAAAGTTATTTATTTTTACCAGTACTTTATATTACTGAAATTACTGAAATCTGCTGCTAAATTTCAGCATCACATTTCACTCATTAGAACTCCAATTTAATAAATCAGCAGTCATAAAAATGTCTAAACTGCGTAGCTAAGGCAGACAAGCAGAGCGTTAGCTAGAAACCATTACATTTATGCACTGCACATGGAGCTTAAATTAATAGGCCTACTGAATTATGTTAAATGTTTGCTAAACGTGTTAACATTTGTTTATGAGTCATATGAAATAATAAATCATTTTTAGGAGTAGATATTTACTGTAAGCTAGCTTGAACTCTGTTAAATTTGACATGCTAACGTAGCAAGGAGAGCTAATGGCTAACATGTTTGGTTTAAAAAGAAAACAACCTATGCTTTGAGATGGCTGTCAGACATGACAGAGGTACGATCACGTTATCCCATCTGAGTTGTAACAGTTGGTGTGTTCTGCAGTTTGTTTCCTCATCACTCTACGCAAGAGGATTAGCATGCTGTTAGGTACCGTTACCTCTGGAAAACGCTGGTTCTGGTTTGACGCCAGAAGTTGCACCCATATTCATGCAAGGCATCATGGGGGTTAGGAATAAGGTGGATAGTTTTGCTGTTATGAAACATGGACCCTGATGACTGTAATGTATCAAGAATTCTCAGTTTTTGGATTCTTTGTTAACCATGGAAGCATGCGAGAAAAACAAAGTCTTCTTCACATATTCAACGCACCACTGGGTGAGTAACTGATTCAAATGGTCATCTTGGGGGTGAAGTATTCCTTTAAACAGTAAAACGTCGCAGTGGCCATGGCCGCCTACACATTTTCCCATCTTACCTGATCCTGCTATTTCTGTGTTGACTAGAGAAGAGACAGGCGAGGGCTCGGTTTCTGTCAAGTTAAGATCTAGTGTTTTGGCTCTAGTTTCAAGGGCACTCTCAATCGGAGAGACAGGAGTAGAGATATTGACAGCATGGATGTACTGTGAAGCATCTGTAGCAGGTGGATGTAGGGTGGAGGTCTGAGGGGAAGCAGCAGGGCCCTCAATGATAGTAGACGGAGCACTGAGATCCACTGTGTAACAAAATGGGACTAAAAATAAAAAAAGAACAGAATAGAATTTTTTTTTTTTTGCAAATGAAATAAAAGCAGTTTACACATGTCCAGGTGCATTCATATTATTATTTTTTTTACCTTCTATGGCAGGCTTGGATGATACGTTGACCACATACAGGCTCCAGGTGTACTGGATGTATTCTGGGGAAATATCACAGCCTTCACACCAGGCGCTGACAGAGAAAGACTGATCCCAGTTCACCCGGTCTCCGTGGCACTGAGGGCAGTAAACTGACACCTTCCTGGGATGGAAACATTCAGATGCAAGAGTCACATGTGTATCAGGTTACAGTGCACTCTTTAATGGTGGCAAATATTTCTAAAAATGTTTATTTAGTTCATAGCATCAAAATTTCATCCATCTTTCAATGTACATTTGATTTGCAGACAGATTTTGCTCCATTAAGGGGGTAAAAAAAAAGCAGCAGGTGTTTTTTTTTAAACATTTCAAAAGTCAGATCTGCTTGTTAATACAAATCCATAGTCTTCAGATAGCCTCCTGAGACCCTGTGTCCCCATATGAGGACATCACATTCTGGGTTTACTTGACCCTTATACTTCATTCTACTTAACTTAGACCTGTTGTCCTTGTTTGTGGACATCTAGTGGTAGTAAGACCACAATACAATAATCCGTGTCAAAACAAGATGGTAGCCATCTCTGCCAAGTCAGCCAGCAGCTGACCCTGACACAAAAGTGGACAAGGTCCAAAACCTGATCACATTTTCTGGTCGAAACTTGTTTATTTATGATTAATAATTGTTGTTTGATATGGCAACAAATTTGACCAATTTAGCAACAGTAATAAACTAAGATGCTGTTAATTAGGAAGTACTTGTTTGAAGACATTGGGACTTTATTGTCTTCTCGTTACAGGACATTGGGAGTTTAACGTCGACTCGTTTGATGACATTGGGACTTAATTGTCTTGTTTGAGGACATTGGGACTTTATTGTCTTCTCATTTGAGGACATCGAGACTTTGTTGTCTCGTTTGAGGACATTGAGACTTTATTATTGTCTTGTTTGAGGATATTGGGACTTTATTGTCTTCTCGTTAGAGGACATCGGGACTTTATTATTGTCTCATTAGAGGACATTGGGACTTAATTGTCGTCACGTTTGAGAACACTGGAACTTTATTGTCTTCTCGTTAGAGGACATTGTGAGTTTACTGTCATCTCATTTGAAGACATTGGGACTTAATTGTCGTCACGTTTGAGAACACTGGAACTTTATTGTCTTCTCGTTAGAGGACATTGTGAGTTTACTGTCATCTCATTTGAAGACATTGGGACTTAATTGTCTTGTTTGAGAACATTGGGACTTTATTGTCTTCTCATTTGAGGACATCGGTACTTTGTTGTCTTGTTAGAGGACATTGGGACTTTATTGTCTTCTCATTAGAGGACATTGGGAGTTTATTGTTGTCTCATTTGTGGACATTGGGACTTAACTGTTGTCTCGTTTGAGGACATTGGAATTTCATTGTCTCCTCGTTTTTATAGGACATTGGAAGTTAACTGTCAACTCGTATGAGGACACTGGGACTTAATTGTCTTGTTTGAAAAAAAAAAAAAAACGCATACCAAACAAAAGTTCATGTCTCAGGAGGATACAATGATTGGCATATTGATTTTGTATGACTCTCACCTGATCACATTTGATGTTAACGTGAGGAAGGTCTCTGATGAAGCTGAACGCTCACCACTGCGGATGGTGAGCGTGAACTGGAATTGGTCAAAGTTGTGTTTTAGGAAGCTAGCAGGAAATACGAGCACAGGGGATGAAGTGGGAACGTCATGGTTGAAACAGGAGCTGGTGATGGAGCTTACTGGTTTACATGTCCAGCTGAAGCTGTGAAGGAAAAAATCAGGAACAAGTGTTACAGGGACAGTTCACCCCCCAAATCAAATATAAGTAATTTTCCTCTTACCTGTGGTGCTATTTATCAGTATAGATTGTTTTGGTGTGAGTTGTCGAGTATTGGAGATATGCAGATGTCTTTTGTCCAGTACAATGGGCCTAGATGGCACTCAATTTGTGGTGCTCAAAGGGCCAAATACATTTGAAAAACTCAACAGCAATGTCTCTGTCCAGAAATAATGACCTGGTTACTCACGATAATCCACAGACCTTGTTGTTATGGTCTGTGGATTGCCTCGAGTAACGTGATTTCTGAAAACAGACATTGCTATTGATGTTTTTCAAATGTATTTTTTTGGGTAGTAAAACCACCCCTAAGCCAAGTCCCATCTAGTTCCATTATACTTAAGAGTAGGCAGACATCTCTACGGCTGATATCTCCAACACTCGGAGCCTGGTCTCACTTCGAAGTCGTTGAAATCAGGCTCTTGGGCAGTGACTTGCGGTGTCAGAAATCAACGGCCAGTTGCCATTATAGTTTAACTGGTGGCATTTGGTGGCATCAGGGGCAAACATGGTGGGACAAGGGCAAAAGTTAAGCTGGCGAAAGTCTGACTGGGGTGAGCGGGTCCATCAAACATTGACTTTCACCCAAGAGAGCGGTGTTCGTGTCCAGTAAGATTCTAAAGCCAGACATGGTTCTTTTTTCCTAAACAGTACATGCTTTTGTTGCCTAAACCACAACCAAGTGTGTTTGTTGTTGAAGGAAAAAAAAAGGTAAATTTGCGGTGTTGTACTGATGTTGTGCGTTTATTTTGAAAGAGACTATGTTAACGTTACATTTCCTGTGAAAACAGAAAGAAGACAATGCATGTAACAGGTAGAACTTGACATGGTATCCCAGAACATCAACAACCAACACACCCAGGATACCTTTCATGTCATATGTGGACGTGGAAAGTCCATGATCAAACATCGATAAGTGACGAGGTCGGAGTGAGAATGTGTTGACACTCGATTAAATAAATAGCACTACAGGTATGAGAAAAAATATGTATTTTTAATTTTGGGATGAACGATCCCTTTAAGTCCGAATCCACATATCTATTGTATCAGTTAAAGGTTTCATTTGTGCATTGTACAGTTTCTGTACCTGACAGGGTTCATGGGGAAGTCTTGGTCATAAGACCTCTGCCCGTCCAGGGTTACCATGGTGGTGTTTCTGTTGTTAATGAAGATGTTAGTGCCGCCCTGGATGAAGGCCACAGGAGGGCTCGGTATGACCTGCACTCTCACAGTGTAGTTACTGTACACCACACTGCCAACGATCTGAACCTGCAGAGCAGTGACAACTATTGGAGTCGAAATACATTCAATTCAGGAGCGGGACATCAATAGCCCCAGGTCCACTACTTACCCTGGCTACAGCTGTGTAGGTGTCATAGTGCAGGAGATGGCTGGGCAGTATGAGGCTCTGTCTGTGTGTGTCTATGAGAGGCAAAGGGAAGATCCGTCCTGCAGAGTCAAACAAGGTCCAGGCGTAGTAAAGTCCTCCTGAAATGTCGCAGTCAACTTCAGTCTCATAGGTCACCCCCAGATGGATAACTTCATATCTTCGCACCTTGAAGAGAGAAGATGATGAAGAAGAGGTGAAGGAGGCAATGATATCTTTTTAGTTATACTTCACCATAGCAGACAGAGGCAACAGCCCTGCTGGTAAAATATACCTGTAGTTTTAGAGGCCCCATGTTTTTCACTGGTGGAGGCTGACAGGGCTGGTCCACGACAAAAATGTGACCACTCAGGGAGGCAGAGCTGACCAGGTTAGACACAGTCACTTCAACTTTGAACTCTCCTGTCCTGCAGAGAGTAAAAACACACAGTCAGTGTGGCAGATTGGTCATTTCAAGATATACAGTTAACTGGAGAACAATGAAACATGGATTTCATCTGACATAAAACTACCTTATCGAGGTTTATTAAATGAAGCATTTGTATAAAAGTATAAAATTGGTCCATAGCAAAGAATTAGAGACTATAGCTTGGCCACAACCAAAATTGATATTTGAGCATTTAAAAATATACTATAACATTTGTCTGTCTGCCAGCACACATATTAACACTACTAAACTGGAAGCTTAGTTGTAGACATCCACCCCTTTTTACTTTTATTTATCTAATTTTCACTTTTCCTGTATCATTTCACACTTTTTCAATTAACTGTAAATTTGTATTATGAGAAATATCTCGAGGATCTCCAGGCGCAGGACGAACATGTGACTACCTCTGCTTTACAAAATAAGAGAACAAATTCTTAACAGTAGATACAAATACAAGAAGGTTCAAAATACACGTGGAAATATTATTTATTGGATTATATTGGCAGGGAGTATAAAATGTATGTAATGTAAAGGGATCCCCCCACGTCCATCTCTCCAGATGAAGGGCCCACTTTTGAAAATGAGGTCCCTCATGCATGTATTTCCTAACGACTGGCCTGACTTAGAAGAACAGTTTTCAGTTTCCGAATAAACTTCTGCGTTTCTGAATTACATCTAACAAATCTTTAGAAATCATGTACACCAATACCACTGTATCTCAATTAAGTCTTTTATAAAACATCCAAATTTAAATTTACCTGAGCATCATAACGCAAGTTAAAAATCCAACCTGTTAGTGAAACTCACCTGTGGAAGACATGCTGCTCTGTGCTCTGTCCCAGCCTGAGTGATCCATCTCCAAAGCTCCACAGGAAGGTGACATCAGTCCCCGCATTAACCCGACAGCTCACTGTCACGGTTTGGTTCTGCAGGACAGAAGCCTGGTGGAGCAGCCTGTTGAGCTTCACCGCCCTCTGGACGACCAGTGGGAACACATCGGAGGTCAGGGAGGCCCGGCCACTTGACATGACTACAAATACATCATACCTACATTGACAAGAAAGGATTGAATGTTGTAGCGTGTATGCTGGCAAAGGTACTACTCAGGGAAAGACCTGTCCATGTACGGTGTCTCCATTTATTCTTGTTAACAGGTTATTTAAGTACAATTTCGATCATTTTGATGCTTGAAAAGAAGCATCTACATTGTGTTTTCAAAACTTCATCTGTGTGTCATACCTGCCAGGTTTGTGATATCTTTTGGTGACAGTCCTTGAGTTGGTTCTGTCTGATCTCGAGTCTCCAAAATGCCAGACGAACTCCACAGGGCCCGGTACTTCAGCCACAGCCAGTAAAGTTATATCGGTATTTGTGGGATAAGCTTGCTTTGCTGCATAAACCCACACTGTTAGGGGACAAAACAGACATCACATTGTTGCTAGTTTGCAGTATATACCACAAATTATAAGAGCCTCATGAAAAAGCTACAAGCATTCATCTACTGATCATTTTGCAGCCTCCATTTTCTTTGACAGTGTTAAAAATGCAAGAAGCCAAGCCAGGAAATAACTCCCTAAAGTTAGTCATGAACAGTTAAGCAGTGCACGAGACCTTCATTGAATTACATCTACTGTAAAGAAGCATAACTGCATTAGTGCCTTGTGACAAAATATCTGGCACAATAAAAGACGAAAATGTTTAGACACTGATTAAATATTAAGGCAGACTTCTTTTCTTAAATGTTTGATCAATGTTCTGACGCTTGGTGCAGCTCAGTGGGTGTTGATGAAAAACACGTCCTCACCATTGTCAGCCTGGTTGTGAGCAGGACTTTGACTGGCAGGCAGTTGCCACGTTGGACTAACTCTAACTTGTGGTGAGGGTTTCCTGTTCCCCTCAACACACACTCTCACGCTTTTGTTCTGAGAAGACACTCGATTCTCAGCTCGAAGCTCAACCGCAACTGTCCCGGTGTGGTCGAAAAGCAAAGCCGCCGTTGCTTCCTCCCCTGTAGTGTAGCTGCTGTTTCTGTACAGCAACGTTGCATTCACCAGCAGAGACACGGTCACATTTGACCCTGCTGCGACGCTGAAGAAAACAAAGTGTTTCTGATGTCTTGTAACCACACTGGGAACCTTAAACAGCAACTCACCGACTGGATCTTGAACGAGGATGTGCGTGCAGAATGAGGCCCAGCTGACTGGGTTAAAGGCCTTAACTGTCACTTTATAACAGCCTGCTGTCGTAAGAGACACATTCATGTTCCACTCCTCAGTTGTCCTGCTCGTCAAAGTAACATTATCCAAACTTAAAGTCCAAATCACTCTTGACCCCATTCGGCTGGCAGGGCTGACAACCTCCAGGCTGAATTCTGCGTGTGCTGAAACTGCTGATCTCCAACTCCCAGAAGGCCTCAGGGCACATATACGCTCGTACACCATCAAGGGTTGAGGCAGGACAGCCGAGAGAAGCACTGATGAAGGGTCAGAAGTGGAGAGAAGAGATGCTGTGAGGTGATACTGTCCTGCCGCGGTGGGGAGGCGGCAGTAAAGGTGGAGATGCAAATGGCAGCTGGAGCGGTTGGAGGTGTGGAGGAGACAAAGAGGGACAAAGTGGGGGGTATCTGAGCTGTTGGTGCCCTCATGACAATAGATGTTATTGTGGTTTTGACTGAGACTGTGATCACAGCTGTTGTTGTCATGGTTACTGTCATTACAGCCCTGATCTGTACTGTTTTCTTGATGAGTAGTTTTGATGTTGTTACTGATGTTTTTATCGTCATTGTCCTCTGTGTCAGTGCTGCCATACTCAGCATTCATTGTGAGGTTGAGGACGAGGAGGGGTTTCATGGTGGTGAACAGCTCCACATCCACAGAGAGGTCCTCGCCAGATGTCAGCTGATTCTCCGATACACTCACTCTGAAGTTGGAAACGGCGCGAGGAACAACAACCTGCAAGTACACACACACTCACGTATGTCAGACATAGAGAACATGCACAGAAAAACACACAAAGGTGAGGTTAAAAGATAAGTCTGGTCATATTTTATAATTCACCTTTTGTCAACAAATCCCATAAAAAGACGAAAAACAACAATAAATTGATTCCACTAACAAGTACTGACAGTCAGAGTCTGATATATATTATTCCTCTGTACCATCAGAGCTCCATTGGTCACATGTTTCTTCATTAGGGAATGAATCATGGCTGGGAGTCATAACGTGAAGACATGACGTGACTTAAACTCAACGTTGACTTTTGGTTTCACACGGGAAACAAGCAGGCGTCCCATATACAAAGGCTTTGTCTTTGCTACAGCAGCGATGGGTTGAATTCCCACCTGCAGTCCTTTGCTGCATGTCGTCCGACTTTCATCACTTTTTCACGCTAAAATAACTGACCTTTTTATTAAAGGCAGAAAAAAAATATCTTAAAAAAAAAATGTACAGTGAATGAGAACAGCCTGATCACACGTACATCTTCCTGCTGTATATACTTGCTTTTTCGCCAAATGTGTATTCATCCGCAGCTGAAAATAGTCCCAAACAAACGCTTCATTTATTCCTGTGTGAGTAACATTTGCTTAAAGCTACAGTGCCCAGCTGTTTTAGGAAATTATAGAGCACTTCTAGCCTGGAAATCCAAACTAGAAAGATTTTGAGTCTGGCCCTCACCGATACACCCTTCCTACCCAAGGGGCGGCACTAACTGAGGCATTCCAAATGCCACCACACGCAACTGGATAGCACAATGGCCAATCAGAGCGAAAAACAAGGTGACATATTCATTGCACTAAGCCCCATTGGTTTGCCAACCAGTGGGGCTAACTGATATATTATGCTTTTGCCGTATCCCATCGGCAAAACAACAAAACGTCCTTCCTGGAAACGAAGGCTTCTAGGGCAGTCTTCTGTTCCTCTCTCAAGGAAAAAGATAAGTGTAGTTGGCTTAGCGTTTCTTCCAAAGCTAAATTGAATGGACGTGGTCCTTCGGCAGCTGCCATCTTGGCTGTTTACTTTTCGATTCCCACTGTGCAGCGCTGTCGTCATCACGTTACGCCCGCCCAGAGCCCGCCTCTGTCCAATAGACTGATCTGATTGGTCCGATATGCGATTCACCAGGCTCTGCTCGTCTCCCCTGCAGAGCAAATTCGAATTTGCTAGGGGCGGGGCATTTGGATTTCCAGGTTAAGAAACTCCATGTTTGTGAGACATTTTTAAAGGTGATTAAGGATGTCTTCAGTAAAAACCAATGGGCTTTGTCAGAGAGCACTAACACATTGATATTATTGGTCTTTTTATGTAATTTGTTGATGACAAAGACAAAATACCACCAGCCTTATCCTTTAATCAAAACTAAACATAAGGATGTCCATAAATAAATGCAGAGTACTCACAACATGTATTGTCTCCTGTGTCCATCCATCGGCACTGGAGGCGTTCACTGACACCACGTGAACTCCCTCTGTTTCAAAAGTCCAGGTCTGCAGGCATTTAGAAATATTTTTTATTACTCATCAGATAATAAACATGACAGTGAGTTGTGAGGATTTGAGATTAAATATTTTTCACTTTAATATTTCTTATAAACAACAGAGAACAGCGTTCCTTCCACACTGACTGAAACTCCATGAGTTTTTGCTGCATAGACAACATCCCAGTTAATATTTAGAACATGTGCCACCTAATAAAAAATCATGAAAGTAGCAGAGGACTTTGTTTTCATGCAATTAAAGCCATTTCCACCACAAACTGATGCAGAAAAATTCTCTCAGTCTCATTGTAATAGCAGCATGAAATGGATCTGGATCCACCTCACTCATATTACAGCATTTCTCTCTTTAATTCTAACAGTCTCTGCAGAGCCCTGGAGTTGTAACCACTGTTTCAATAAGCTTTTGCAGATAAACCAATATGTATATCGCTCTATGAATCTACACATCAGTAGCTCTGGTTCTTAGAAGCAAAATGAGCTGTCACATGTCGTTCTAACTCCTCTTTTTGTGTTGTTATGGTGAGCTAAGAAACATGTGTGCATCAGTATTTGGTTGTATCTATTTGTCCTTCATGAAGACGAAAAAAGAGTTCAAAAAATAATTCACTTTAAGGTTGTTATTGTTTGCTTTTGATGCATATACAGACTTTTCACATGCTCTATATTGACCCTTGATCCCTTTTAGATAAAAAAAAAGGTTAATTGACCTATGGCTAAGCCCCGCCCTCAAACGTGATGAGCCAGTCACAGTGTGTATAGCCATTCCCATACACTTGGACATTCTCTGCCTGGACGTCCATTGAAATGCATTACAGAAAGTCAGTTTTGTTCGGTTTTATGAGCTTTTTCGGAGATTTGAAGTTTAAAAATGGTCATGCATGGGGTACATGCAACTCTAACACAAGGTATCCTGAGAGGCTGGGTGACGAGGTGTATTTTTTACACTTTAAACCACATCTGAACTGAGAAAAGTGTCTCCTTTGGATAAATTTGTGTGGTAACGTTAGACCACAACATCAACTCAACATGAATAAGATTAACAATGATGTCTACATCTGTTCTAAGGTAAGTCAACATTGTGTTTGAGGCAACATATTGTCACTTTGCTGGAAAGAAATATAAAGTTATCTTTAACATCTCTAGCTAATGTTAGCTAAAGTTAGCCTAACATTAGCTCCTAGCTGCGTTGTTCATCATGTCACCTTGTTTGCTGGGAGATCATTAGATTATTTTGTTCTAGTTTTTGTACTTTGGTGATCGTACATCATTGTTAGCTGTTGTCCAAAGGGCTCTAGTTAAACTAACGATAACTTCTGGAGCTTAGCTTCATTAACTTCATTAACATCTGTAATCGCAGAGATAACAAAGGTTGGCAAACGTTATGCTGAATGATTCAATGTAAATACTGTAGCACCAAACTAACGGAGAGACACTCTTGGTAAAGATGGTAAAAACGCTGTTATCCTTTTCTCATATTCTGAGCCAAAAACCTTAACTTCAGTGGCACTTTAACTTGTTGTCTTTGATGATGGTCTGATCGTTATTTCCCCAAAAATCATCAGTTGCCTGCGAAATGCCGTGTACTGTGACACCTGCCATAGCGCCGGTCACTCAATGTTGATAGTTTGTCGGAGTGAGTGGAGGGGGGCGTGGCCTAGCCATAGGTCAATTATATAATTCAGTGTGAGCAAATCATTTGTAAATATTTATTGTTGTCTTTAATATAATTTTTGGCCGTTACTTTTGGGTTCTGGTTGCATTGGGAGACCACAGTTGCTGTCAGTTTCACCAAGTATCTCCCAGACGATCAAAGCACTTTATTCCATCGACGCACTTTAAATAGCACTTTATGGCATTACTGCTAACTCTGCACTTTACTTCCATGTATGATTGTTTGTCTGTTTGTGAACTATTCTTTGTTTTAATTACTGTTTTTGTTTTTTAATTGTCTGTGACCTGCCAAGGGACAACAGATGTAAATTAGCAGTTCTGCTAACTCCGGCATATTTACAGATGTATTTATACTGATGTTCATCAATATGCATTGTCCCTTCCAAATAAACGCTTAAATAAATAAATAAATAAATAAATTTTATTGATCTGTTGGATTTCTGCTCATGATATGCCTCAATAATTCTAACAAAATGCACATTGTGACAGGACTTTTCTGACTAAACCTGAAATCTACATGTATGTAATCTAAAAATCTCTATAAATCTTAAATGTAATTATTAACATCATATATTTCTCTATTTTCAACCAGTCCTGGCCATTTTTGGTGAAGAAAATGTGCAATCTCTCCATATTTAGAGCTAATAGGAGACTCTGGACGTTGGACAAAAGCACAGTTTGTAGCTTGTTATTGAAAGATGTATAATCTTTTTGAAACTCTTTGTTGCAGTCACATACAGGCCAGAGCAGGCTGACCTTAAAGGAATACTTCACCCACAAAATGATAATTTGTATATCAGTTGCTCACCGTGTGTAACGTTGAATTCGTGAACGAAAGTTTTTTTATCTCGCATGCCTCCACAGTAAACAAAGAAACCAAAAACCAAGAGAATTCCTGATGAATTGGCATCAGAGGGGGCCGCATTTAACAACAGCAAAACTACTGTGTAAACATCTTTTTTTAAATTCTCACACAACTAGTGCAGAATAATCCAAGTGTTATTTATCAAGTCGTGTGCTCAGTGCCTCCCAAACACATGCCACACACTTCATTTATGGTCAGCCATACCTGAACGACTCACATCACACAATCTGGAATCTGTTTATTTGCTTTTAAACTTACATTGTCTATTTTATGTGTACACATTGTACCATTGTAGCATTACACAGGCAAATTGTTTGTTATTAATAATCAGTCTTTGTCTTTGAGTTATCGTAGTTGTTTGGGGAGGTCCCTTCCTGGTGGAGAGCAGCTGTGAATGTGGCTGAGGACTCTTAAATCCTGGAGCCAGCTCATTGGACCAAACCATGTTCTACCATGCCATGGGGGGGATTTCGGTTAAGTTAGTTTTGCTTTGTATTTAGCAGTAGTTGCAGTCCATTTTGTTTACCCCTTGTGTATTATTTAGTTTGGTCAAGCCACTGTATTTGCTCCGTCATGTGTCATTTTGACAGGTCAGTTTGTTCAGCTAACACCTTGTTTAGTTGTTACATCGAGTACAGTTGTGTTACTCCTCTCTCATAGGCGTAGTTGCTCAGTTCTTGGTTTGTAATTTTTCATGTTTTTTTAGTAAATAAAAACCCATGATTTTGTCAACAAATTCTTCACAAATTCAAAGTAAATCAGATGCTTTTAATTTATGTAGTAATTCAAACAACAATATTTTGTTTTCACTGAACACCATCAGCGTGCAAAGTTGCTTCATTCAGCTTAGACTGTGAGGTTTTCGTGATTCATGTAAATTAAAAAAATCATTGTGATCAATTTTAAAGAGAGAGCTTCAGCTTTAAATGCTGAAAACATCCGACATAATAATCAATAATTTGAGATACAACAGCAGTGATACTCTGTCAGCCCTACTCACCACAGTGCTGTTCACACAGTCCGAGCTGGGAAGACACACCGTCTTCACACCCTCCATGTTTCTCTCTTTTTCTTTGTGAGTGAACAACCAAGAGAACTCCACTGCCGCACCATCACCCATCATGTGTGCCTGCAGTGTGACAGGGTCGCCCAGGTACGCTGCCTCCACAGTTGCACTGCTGGAGTCTGTGTGAAGAGACGGGGTGCAGGAGGGGACCCTCAGGGAGCCGTGAAGCACAGAGACCACCAAGCCGTGTGCAGAGGACTGGGAGACGGAGAGGTGGAGGGTGGAGGAGAGTGTGGAGAGGGGGTTGGAGACGCTGACGTCTGAACAGAAAATGACAGAATAAAATAGAGAAGGAGAAAGAAGGTGAAGACATAATAATACATATATTTAAGCAATGAATTATTCACCATTTGCTCTTGTGAACTTACTGAGTTCATATCTTCCTGGCATTTCCAAAATCCAGTCATGCGACGCAACAAAGGAGCCATCATCCAACACGTTGACACGCTGTGAACTTTGACCTTTAGGGGTCGTTTCCTGAAACTGAACAGTGACATAAGAGAGGTCCTGCCCTCCCACTCCCAGGATCCCTTAAAAATCACAGACAAAAAACTCATTTAAAACAGTTAAATAGAAACACAAATACATGCTGCAAATATTTTTTTAAATCCTATAAACATTAATTAAATATCCTGATATTTTTTCTAAGTGTGTAAATATATTATTTCACATTGAAAAATCTAAAGTGAAGAGAGTGAAATCAGCAGAACATGAATAAAATATTTTCCTCTAACATAATCATTATTTTAGAATTAGATCTAATGCAGTTATTTTCTATACCATTACAATTATATCATGGACATTATTTTAAAATTTATGATACAAATAAATTCTTGTTGATCATTTTTAACCACATTACACAGAGCATCTGCAGCTGGTAACAAACAATATTAAAAAAATGTGTTTTCCACTGCAATATGCAACTTAATCGTGTCTTAACTGTATCCAAATATGTATGTTAACATTTTTGAGAGGTGGCTTTGAGTGTTTTTTGCAAGTATGTCTTTTTATTTATTTATTTATCTATTTATTTATTGCAAAAATAACAGAACCTTTGTTATAAGTTATTAAAAAAAATGAAAGAAATAAATTCAATAACACTGACTACACAAATGCTCTTTCTAAAATTCAGCCCACATGATAATTTGTATGTAACACATATATTTATAATAAATAATGTGATATAATTATAGTCATGTAATTATAAAAATAAAATGATTAATTATATAGTATTCATTCAAGCAAAAACTCAAGCTGAAGAATATACTACAGGCAAAAAATATATATATTTACACAATTACAGAGTCACAGAAAATAAATTAGAAGGAAATAATGGGAACAAATTTAAAAGAAAATCAATGGAAGAAAACATCTTAACCAAAACAAACCTCCTCTCCAAGTCAGACAGTATTTTTGTGACACTGGAGTCAAGCTATGTGCAACATGAAGAGTCGTGTTTCCATGGACTACACCTGTGTAAAAAACAGCAGCAGCTGACCTGTGGGCTGGCGGGGGCGTCCAGCCAGGTTTCCAGAAACTACCACAGCAAAAGTCCTCCCAGCCTGCACTCTGTGTGGTGACGTAGACAGATGAAGTCTATGCAGGAATGGTCCTTTAGTTCTGTAGAGTGCCACGGTTCCCTGTCCAGGCAGGTAGAGGACACTAGAAACAAGACAAGACTCACAGTAAAAAAATCAGCATGGGCTTCAGGCACCGTGCACAGTTCATACTTCAAACCCTGTATGTGTGTGTAAATTCAAAACTGGTCCCTAAAACTCTCCTGATCTTTAAATGTCTTTCACTAGCCTATATGAATTTCTTCAGAGGATGGTAACACTCTGGACACAGAGGTTGGACCCTGAAAGAAAAATGGGCCGTCTGTCTCACCTTTGTCTTTCTCCTCTGACATCCTTTGTCCTTCCACTGGAAGATGTGTTGAAACACTCACTGGCCACCAAACCCTGTTGTTGGTTGCCACAGTAACAAGCCTCTGAGGTCAAGGCTGCCACCTGGTACCTTCCAGCAACAAATAGTGAAAGTTAATGAAATAGTGTGTGAGTGCTGCACATGCATCCAGCTCATCTGCGCAGCATGTTAACATGTGCTGGGACACTTGAAATGAAAACTGGTACAAGCTTTTGCAACAATAAGCACATATTATATTCTTATGTTTAAAGCTCTTTGAGTCACTTGAGTTTGATTTCAGATTTTTCTAATAAGAGGGAAACAATGAAGGAAAATATGGACTTCAGTGTTGTATATATTATTTTAAAAAGATTTGACCTGGTTGAAATTATTTAAAATATTTCAGAGTGAGAACAGCATCACAGCTGGAGGAATTTATGTTTAAAAAAATCTGTTTTTAAACATAATATGAGATCACTGTGATACAATATTTTTAAGTGTCACCACTGAGAAATAACTGAATCCAATAGGATTTTTTTTTTTAATACGATGGTTTTTCCTCAGTAATTTTACACAAACAAACAAAATGAAAACGCACACTCAACGTGCTCTTTTACAGTCTCCCCTCAACTTACCCTTCATCCAGGCAGCGCACCGAGCAGGTTACCGGGTCAAGGTCACGGACACCTTTGGGTGCGTATAGTCCGCTGCTGGCGTCGACGCACCCCACGAACCACGGTGAATCCTCGTGGTCCGGTGCAGGCTGTGCCACAGAGAAGGAGCGCAGTGAAACGAGCGTGCAGACAAAAGCAGCCAACATGTCTGATCTCCTCTGCACAAAGGCCGCACGAGCTCAGGAGAGCAGCTGGATGGACGGAGTGCGTCTGGTGAGGAGGACGCACGGGTGTCAGACTGAGAGGAGAGGAGGAGTGGGAGTGGAGAGCAGGTGCATTGACACCAGGTGAGAACAGAGAGGGACTGTATGGAAATGAAGGAAACTGGAAGCGTGACGAGGGAGGAAGCTGGGATCAAACAGAAACGACCTTCATAGTGCTATGCGATAAACATAGCGCAGAAATAAGGAAGACAGCGCGTATTTGTGACGGTAAGAATAAAATAGCAGTGAGTATGATTTTAATTCAAGGCCGTGGTGTTGTACATTCAATTCAGTTCAATAGAACTTTATTTCTTTTGCCAGAGAATGCTTCAAATTACAGCAACACTAAGCACAGTAGCCACAATTTTTAAAGATTCACAACTACTACAACAGACAACCAGTGGGTTCCCCGGGTCAGGGCCACTCACTGGGCCCAGGTTTAGAAAAATAGAGTATTAAATATCTAATCAAATATACAAATATACAAGACAGAAGTGTCCTCAAGGAGCAGAAGCAAAAATGAGTGCCTCGTAGGGTAACAATAGGAGTGTTATAAGTACAAGAAAATGAAATAAAATGGTGGAAAGAAAACAGACTGCTTCTGATAGTCAGCATAATATTGCACAAGATATTGAAAAGTAGAAATGTGCATCATATGACGTAATAGTGCACCTGATGTTGGTTTAATATTGGTGTCAGTGTCCTTTGTCTCAGCTCATCCCTGCAGAAGAAGGTGGAGTTACACAGTTTGATGGCCACAGGTAGAAAAGATCTCCTGTGGCGTGAATGTCCTTGATTTCATGTGTTGCAACATGTTAAGGAATTTAAATAAAACGTGACTCAACCCTTCCTGCCACTTCCAACTTACTTATGTCGTGTGTTATCTGCAGTCCGTGCAAAATCACAAAGGTCACCATGTAATTCACAGCAGCACCATCAGAGTTTGCTAATTACATTGCATGCAAACTGAGCACAGGCCTGTGGTGTGTGAGCTGCTGCTTCTTTACGCACCCCTGAATGCAGTGTATATTTCTCTCTGTAGATTTGATTTGAGGTGGATATGAACTCACTACTGCACTGGCTGCAGCCTGAATCTAGAGGGCAATTTCACTGGATTCAATTCATGTGCTCATTCCAATTGTGTTTGAAAACGTTTTTGAGTCCATGTAATCCCCCGTGTCCACTCATATATATATGTATATATGCAACATCCCTTTTTCTTTGTCCCCGGATTTTTCAAAGAAGTTGCACGAAGGTCACTCCAACACACAGCTCCATCTGACTGGAATAATCTTCCTCTTTTCTTGAGATCTGTTTCCTCTTTCCGCTGCTTCAGGACTTCCTCATATTCTCAAAACAACCTGTTCACGTTTTTAAAATGCACTGAAAGCTGCTGTGACGATCCGAGGTCACGGTATCCGATTGGAATTTTCTTGCACAGCAGCTGAGGGCAGGGAGCTGGTGAGGAAGACGTCTGTGTCCGTGTATTTGTAGCGTGTGTTTGTCGTGTGATGCAGTTTTGCCTGCGTGTTTTTGCTCTGTGTTGAGATGCAGCATCAATACACTCAAATTCTTTACGCGCAATCACTGCAAAAATGGTGACACCCAAAGAGGCACAACACCAGGAAACTGAAGTGAGGCGATACATGTTATTTTAAAATATATTTTCAACCTCTTGCGTGGATTTTTATTCTGAATATATGTGAAATTATTCTGTCTGTTGTCACTGAGCCGTTTCATACACATAAATGGACGTGGGCCACGGTGACCTGGCCGCGCGCCCACGTGCTTCACATCGGCCTTCAATCTTAATCACAAGAAGGAGATGAATTATTTCCACACAGCCACGTGTGTGAGACCAAGGCTGCGTCCCAATATTGATTTGATTCAGCACATTTGACACCGGTTGGATCACCTGAGGGCCGCAGACTCCTCTCTGCTCCTTCATCAACACTGACAGTAACATCTGGAGACGTCATCCAAAAGTAATCCCGTCTATGTTTTATTTTATCAACAGGAATATGGTGCCCAGGTTCTCCTTTAGGGAGCAGGTCTGCGTCATCTCAATGAGCCATGGTGTCGATATAAAGCAAAATATAAGCTGCAGTGTGACACATGTGAATATTATTCACCATACCGTTTTATTTTGACTCTTTATTATTTTTCTCTGGTGATTGAAATGGCAACAGGGTGACACATCCTACACCTGAGCTCCATCTGTGTGGATTAGTGCGCAGAGGTGTCACTCTGCTCGGGTCCTGCGCCACTTATTTGCGTAATTCAAGGAAATTCATCAATTCCAACTGGAAATAATAAAAAATGATCTCACAGGCAGTGTTGTTTTCCAGCTTAGTTTAAGAAAGGAAGGATTTCAGCTCCAGGAGACACACATTCTTTGTATGAATATTTTTTGCAAAGCAGATTTGAGCTGCCAGAGAGAGAAACGCAACAACCCAACGGAACCGGTGAAGCTGTCTGAGTCCAGCCTGCCCTGTGAGCCCTTTATTTGGGGGGGAAAGGCGTTCTCACTGTGCAGCTAACTCCGCCGTGCCACCTTAAAAAACTCTTCCGGTTTTCTAGACATCCCCTTTAAGAGAATTTTCCACTGGTCCTTGCAGCCAGCAGGGGGCGCTGCCAGACCGCGCCATGCCACCAAACTGACTGTAAGCAGAGAGAGGCACAGCGGGGGGAATCAAACACATTTTCTCTGTCCATTTTTTATACGGAATACGCGCATTTTTGGGGCGATTTCGTTCCGTCTCTTTACGCAGGGACTCGCAGACGTCTCCGCATCTTAAAAAACACCGAGTAAACATGCATGAGAGCACAGAAACACACGCAAATGTTATTTGATTTCCAAAGAAAATCCAAAATAGCGGGATTTTTTAAAATTGTTGATTTAATATAGATTCGGCTGCTGTTAAGAAACAAAACAGCTGTGGGAGTGAGACACATATTTGGCGCTCATGTGCAGATTAAATTGGGATCATTTGATGTGAATTATTTCACAGTGAAAACATAATTCTTCATTTGGTTTGGGAGGCAATTCAAGCTCTCCTGGACTCCCCCGGATCACACTTTTGAGAAGCGTTTCCCCCAAAACCGTAACACCAACAAGTAGCGCTGCGGTCGTGACCGTGCGTAAAGTCCACCCCGGGCCTGTAAGCCACAATAACCTGCTTCATTCGTTAAGCGCGCGCTGTGTTTTCACCGTGCGCGCGCGATGATGCAATTAACAAATGATTAAGTCAACGAAATCTTGAAAAATTAAGCAGCTGGATGAGCGTTATGGCGCTGCGTAACGGAGAGTCGCAATAAGCGTTATGTAAGCGCCTGCAGCGTGCGCCTCCGCCGAGGACACCGAGCCCGCTGGAGGAAAAACTGCACAGCTGACTCCGGTAGACTTTGAAGTCGCTTGAGGTGGAGCGGGATTTAAAATAGATATAATCCAAGAGGTTTTGTTATGAAGGCAGGGATGTAGCGAGGAGAAATCAACCCATCAGTTCAGGTTACTTTTAATTTGCGTAATTCTATCGCGTTTTTCGGGTGATATCACACCACATGAGAGGAAGTTAACACATGTTGCATGGATATATGACTGAATAAACTCTTTAAACTGAAGAGACATAAAAGATAAAACAAAATTTAAGTTGCTGGCGTGATCATAAGTGACAGGAGCTCATGTGTTACCCACCTTTTTATTCTCTGAAGTTGTTATCTGAGAATAAAGTAAAGACATCTGAAGAGAACAGTGCGTGATTTTGCTCCAGTCTGTTTAAACCGCCTGCTGCTTCCTCTTTTAGAATTATTTTTGTTTTACTGGAGGAATATTAACCCCTGTGTCTGTTCCTTTTTGCGCATGTACACGTTGACATTTTTAGTGCTTTCATTTTGAAGGTAAACAGGCCTGATCTCACCAGATTCCACCTCCATCAATATATCTACACATCATCTCCAATACTTCTTGTTTTGAATCGATTGCTATTCAATAAACACGTTTTATTAAGGCAGTAGTTTGGAGGCATTTTCCTTCAGGACGCATGAATCCTTCACACTCAGGTGTCTCTTTTTTAACAACTTCATGGCACTTACCAGCTATCAGTCTGCTACCCTCCCCTGAATTCATTTATCATCACGGTGATATTTGAAATGGATACAGTCGTTATGTATTTGGGAGAAGCCCGGGGAGGCTGCGTCACGTTGCCAAAACACAAATGAATCAAGATGAGCAGATTAGGCGGTCATGGCAGCGAGTTTCCACAGGAGAAAGAGAGACGACTCAATCCTCAATCGATGTAAGAAAAAAAAGTAGAGACTTAAATGTGTTTGAATGCGTTTTATTTAAAGAAAGAATAAATGGAAATTATGGAAGACACGAACTGTTTCATTGCCTCATGTTTAAACAGCTGGTTTGGATCATTTATATTTTGTCTATCAAGCATCTGAATATTGTGAATATAGTTTGTGTAATTTGTGGGATGCAGATTTCATCTTTTAATAGCTGCATATTAATGTAAGACATTCTTATACAAAACCCTGTCTCTAATTATGCTCGTCACTTCATAAATTAACAAGGCCTCGTGTGTATCTCCGGTGATCCCCCTCAACGTGCACAACATTATACCCGATTCCTCTCTCTTGTTAAATGGACTTTGGTCTGCAGCACCATTGGGTTACCGTGTGCATCTGCTCCTTGATGGGTGCATCCACAAATTCATTTGCAAGCTGCTCATAAAGGAGGCCTGGAGACGCAAAGGAAATTTGGAACATCGTGACAAATTGATATCTGAAAGAGGTGAAAGGAGAATGAATGTGTGCAGGAAAGTCCAAAAATAAACATGCACCTTAGGATCATAAAGTTATGTATGCAAAGGTAAAGTAATCAGATTAGACATTAGAATATAACAACACATATACCTGGCGCACCCTTGTAATAAACTCCC